GTATGCCCTCGACGCTATTGTTGCGCTTTGTAATAGTCATACTGTGAATATAATTTCTACTTGGCGTGTACTCAGTAGTAAATTTAGGCACGAGCGTCGACCGAAAGCCTTAAAATCGCTTTATCGTTTCTTCGCTCACATACCGTTGCTGCATACACCTACCCTAGAGTATGAGCAATTAGTTGACGAAGCATTGGAGCAACTGTGGTTGACTGTGAGTCGCTCCGATTCCGAACCGGAATTGGTGAGAGAAGCTCTGAGTGCTTTAAAGAATTTTGAAATCGGTTCACTACTTTCTATGCGTCACATTCCCATGCAATATCGCCAGGATACACCAGGAGTTCGCGAGTTCGTTGGAGGACGCGAAGTCGTTGACCTGCAGCAGGAAATGGTGCCAGGTGAGGTTTGGGTACATCTTCTACAAAAAATACGTCCCGAATGCGGTGCCGCTGCGGCCGATTTAATCGCCCATCATATATATGCTGAAATAAATGGCTATCGCAGTGGCGTTTACCGCTTGCCTGAAGGCAAGCCGGAACCGCGCAAGTTGCAAGGACTCTTCCCACAAAGTCCCTTGCGTGCCGTGGTGAGCTATGTGGTAGGTCAAGCACGATTCGGCGATCACGTAACAGAGCCTCACGTGGTGACAAATGCACTAAGGGCAATTTCGAAGAAGTTTCCCAAACCCATACCACCCCTCGATTGGTGTTTCCTTCACAGTTTTTTCCACCTCTCATTTGAGGCAAGAAAATATTGCTTGCTGATCGCCAAGAATCAATTACTACACTCTGGCACGGCCCGACGATTGTTGGAAAATTTCCTGGTGGATTTCGAACCGAATTGTTTTGAAGAAGATTTGTTGCTACTGTTCTCTTTACTCCCTGAGATTTCGAATGGAGTTAGCTTGCATATTTTAAAGAACTTTGCCGAAAAAATAGCGATATACAGTTTCAAGGAATCACAACTGAGTGGTTTTACAGAAGGTATGATTAGAAAATGTGCTAAGAAAGAACCTATCTAGAAACTAGAAAAAGAATTTAAAAACATTTATTTGCAGGTTGTCTTTTTGAAAAGTTTATAGACAGTGTGAAATACATATTCTTAGGCAAATGTGACATCCCGGAAGTGCTCGATATATTCACGCTTATTATTGAACGTTATATGGACTCTATGGATCTGGATTCGAGGGTAACTAGTTTCTTTTTCTTCTGTGATTGTGTTAATAAGGTTGTTCTTCTACTCATATTCGTAGTTATTTGAGCGATATACAGAGGTAGTATCCGTTTTACACCCCAATTCCATTGACGGTCTCACATCGCCTGCCAATTGGTGGGAAACGCCAATTGGTAAACTGAAAAAGGCCACCATTATAAGGTGCTACTTAGTGTTATATAACACGCAGTTGTCCAATCCATTGAAGTGGCTTGCACCTATCATAGATGCCTACTCCACTCGTCGCGAGGAACAGCCATTCTTCTTCCGACACCTGGTTTCAACTTTATATGCCTTTAAAAGTGATGAACAGTCTTGCAACTGGATTATGGAACTGTTTTTGCAAATACAAGCGTTCTTGGCTGAATCGTCCAACAAAGAAAAATTAGATAAAGTTTTGTATCTTTTAGATATTTTCATTTTAGCTGTAGTTGTACTTTCCGGTTGCGCCGTTCTTCTTGGTAATTTGGATTCTGTAGCCACACAACGCAAAGATCGATTTGCACTTTTCCCAGAGAGCATGCAATTTCTGTGTGAGCATATATTTTGGAAGGATCAAGAAGCAAAAGTAATTTATAGTATTTTTTTTTATAAATTGTTAATATTTTTTAAATATTTCTTTTCAGATCTATGAGTTTCTATATAATTTGTACAAGAACAGTGCTATTCCAGAAACATATTCTGCAATTTTTAAGAATGCTATTATCTGTTCCCGCAATAAATCGTATTTCGACAACAAAGGCATTTGGACAAAATATGTTGGAATGCGAAAATGACTTTTTGAATTTTGCACATACAAAAAAATGTATGTAACTGGTGGTTAACATCTGTGCCTTACTGTTTTTGCCTTTTGCATATTCCAATATAACAATATCGATATTGGTACATACATATACCAAAACATACATAATACATATGATCATATGTACAATTGTTGTTTTTTTATACATTTTTATGTTTAATTCAAATTGATGAAATTTGATGTGTGTTACACTAACAGCAAAATAAAACTACAAATGAAAAATTTCTATACAGTTGTTCATGTTTAAAACAAAAACTGGCGAAAAATAAATAAATCAGTGGCAGTTAAATTACCGGTTCGACTAAATTTAATAGTTACAAACTCAGTGATATCGGTATTATGCGGCCAAGAGAAGATTATGCGGTTACTGACATTGAGCCAGGGTGTCGTTGGAAATCACTAGTTTAGTTTCCACCTGCTGAGGCAAGTACAGTCGAAATGTAAGCAATTGGGTTAAATAATTTGTTTTCGTAGTTCTGCGAATTCGAGATTCAGACAATATTTTCATTCTTTGAAGATTTGTAAAGCTCCCTGACGCTACAAACATAAAATTAAATCAAATGTTGCAAGTTTCAAGGTTCAGAAGCTCAGTTGTTTCCCGCATTGGAAATTATTTGATTTGAATTTTAGCAGAAATTTTAAAAACAATGATGTCTAGTAACAAAAAAAAAATTCAACCCTCATAGAAGTAGTGTTGCTATGTTATTGAAATATTGAATTCAGAGAACGTATTTAAAATTTACGTTCTCTGTACTGGCATTCGAAATGTCATCCGTTTTGTTGTCCTCTGATTATTCGTCGCTTATTTTTTCAAAGAATGTGGATTAAATGTAAATCTACGTTCTCTGATTGTTTGGTTGACTTTGTCGTGATCTAAATTTTCCATATCTTCTGCAAATTCTGCTCGCGAATTAAATACAAAATATACGGATTTCGATATTGAATTTAAAATGTGATAAAAGCTTTCATTAATGTGACAAATTAGTTTCTTTATCATTCTAAAACACCTTTACAAGTGAAAGTTCTTTGCGAAAAAAATAGTATTTCAACAGCTGGAAGTGAAAAACCTATTATTATACCTATATTGTGCTGTAATTTTTTCCTAACAAGCTTCCAAGTTCAAGGACCATGGATGACATTAAATTAGCTAAGGTACAGTGCTAAGTTACATTTATTGAAATATTATTTATATATGTATATATATATATCTATTGTTTATTGTGCGGCTCCCAAGGCTCTTTGATCTGAATGCATATTTGAATGTCCTGCGACCAACACCGGTTAGTTAGTTGAGTCATCATTTGTAGTGTTTTAGGTACATATATACGAAGCTAAGTTATGTGTTGACAGTATTTTGCATTTTTTGAAAAAGAGCAGTGCGAAAAAACGGAAAAGTCATAAAAACAAGTACATTGAAAAATTGTTTAACAATTTTACAGTAATCTTGTTTGTGTAATCGTTATCTACAGGTGTTGTATTAGCGTTTGCTGTAGCGGAGAGTTAATAAAATCAATAATGAATGCGATAGTAAAGATAGGTATTGCTATTACATACATTACAAGAATTAATACCACATGATAAATGGTTATTTAATCACAGCTTATAAATTACACTTCAAATTAATTTATGCGTTCAGCCGAAACGTATATTCAAATAAATGTATTTTCAGTAGTACGAGGCATTAAGTTATTCTATGTAGCCAATAATAATTATTATATCCTGAACAAGGTATAGTAAGTTTGCCAAGAAGTTTATTCTCCAAACAAATGTTCAGATCGAACCAATATAGTACTTAGCTGTCATGCAAACTAACCGAGTGAAATTAAGATCAAGTATAGAAAAATTTTGTATTTTACAAAATAATATCTTTGACCATCGTTGTGCGGTGGAAATGGAAACTGTATCGAGTCCATAAACTGCACAAATTTTATTGGCGGCTGGAATGCATTTTTGCCTTTATCGTAGTAGTACTGTAAAATATGCCGTATTTTCTCTTTATTTTGCTCCATGTTTGCGACGTTCTAACTAACGAACGACTTAAAAGAAACGGCAATCAAACAAACACGTGAAATGAGCTTTCCAAAAAGGTATATCATGACCCGATGCAACGAATAAAACTAGAACTACGCGCTCTCAGCGCCAACTAGCGAAAATACCGCAAGACTTTTTTGACAACCTAATATATTGACGAAATTTGGCAGAAATCATTCCTTAAGAAATTTTGAGTGTTGACAGTCTGTGTCCCTTCCGGTAACGTAATCCCGCCTGTCATGGAAACAACATTCAAACCAACAAAAACAGAAAGATCAGAACCGATATAAAGTTCTTCCTACAAGATCTTTTTTCTTAATAAGAAACCCTTAAGTCGTCTAGAAGGGCGAAAGAGCTATCAAAGCGTTTTCCGTTGAATGTAATCACTGGCCGGTAACGTTTCAGGGTTTAGGATTTCCGTAACTAGAGCGCGTAAAAGACACCAATTACTGTACATAAAAACATAAACGATATTTATACATATATTGTAAAAACACATTATTCTTTTTTTTTTACTTGTTTTACGATTTTACTCTTTTAAAGATAAGTGCTGTCAGTCCCACACCTAAAATAAAATTTCGAACAATACTATTATACTCTGTGGAACATGTTGCGCTCTAGTATAAAAATTTGCTTCTATTGTGATGCGCATGCTCAAGTTTGCATATTCTATTTCTCAACCTTCCATGGTAAAACAGTATTTGTTGTCACTATAACACATTTATTTTTATGTTTTATGAACTTCAATTACACAAAATTTTTCTCAAAATTAGGTATTATTTTATTCACAAAGGTATTTAAATGATAGGTAATGCAAAACTGAAGCGATTAAATGCTTTTTACCAGATTCGGCTTCCAGGAGAGATACCATTCCGACTGGAAATTTCCCTTTTCTTAAAAGAATTGGCGGCTCAGCGACTTTTGTTTTCCATGTAATTCTTGAGTTCGATTCTAGCGTTGCAATATGACACAACAGTCATCGGACAATCGTGTGTGCTTTTCATTGAAATAAGTTCGTTTGTTCGCTCCTCTCCCATAATCGGGTTTTTCAATTTAAAACAACACCCAAACCGACCAGTGCAATCACTCCCACCTAAACAAAAACCTGTACCGTGCTTGTTTTCAAAAGTGAAATTACTTAATTGTAATTTGATTGAAAAGGTCGATACTCACCTTTTGTTATCTTAGTTTTGACTACACCGGTGTTATTGCCCTAGGTTATTCGTGCCAAAGTTTAAGCGAATTTTCACTTGTGTATCTGTAAGCCACTTTTTGGCTTTAACTCAACTCTATATACAAATGTATATTAATATAATTATTGATTAAATAAACTGCTGACCAAAGTGTGTGCAAATTTTGTGCAGACGTGCAAAAACATTTGGTTTCTGTAGCCAAATTGTGTCCTAAGTAGGATACCAATACTGCGGACAAAATGGATTTTACGAAATTCATGAATAAGTTTAATGAAGTTGAACGCTCTCTTTCACCAACATCTTCATTACGTCTAAACTTTGATAACATCTCGCCGGAAACTGAAGAACCGGAGGAAAATAAACGTATTTGGGGTGTGCCCGTACCCCCCTTTGTATCCGAGAAAGTCGTCTCGTGGATTGAGGAAGAGTTTAATGAGCCTCCTATATATTACAATGGCAATGCAGTGATTCGAAAGGTTTGTAAATGCATTTTTGTATGATTGAATACCTAATGTATGGACTCATATCTTACCATAAAAGTAATCTAATATATTCTGATTGAATTCTGAGGAGCATAAGCAAGCTGCAATCAAGTTGAAATTTAAACTTAAAAATTCGAAACTGCAAGTTATAGCAACCGAAAATAATATTAACTATATACTCAATTTACTAGTAAAATTATTCACCAAATAGGAATTAAGTATGTTTTTTATAGCACAGAGATAATTTCTAAATATTATATATAATATATTAAATTTAAGGAGACCAAACCTATCGGTTCAGTCTCTCTAAAATCAGAAATATTTATAGAATTAGTAGTAGAAGTAGACTTTTTGGTAGCTATCCATGTTCATTTTGAAATTGTGGACAATTTTCGTGCGACTTGAAACTTGACCGTTACGACTGAACATTCTGTCATCAAATTTGCATTTTTAATCAACTTTCGCCATTTGCACTAACTTTGTTCATGCACTAATACTTCCATATCTACTCACATACACACGCACTTACATATTTCTTCCGAGTATCCTTTTGAAGCTTTCAGCAATACCTTATAAAACTTCATTCACCTGCTTCGGTGAACTCATAAATTTTAACTGCAAATATTTTGAACCATTTGTAGTAGTCTGCTAGTGTACGGCTGTACAAGAGATTTTTCATATACATATGCATATACATCATATAATATGACTATATAATTTTTTGATACTTTTACTTGTAATTTTAAATTCCTGTTTTCATCTCTTTGTTTATTAGCTATATCTACGTGTTTACTCTCGCAACAGAGTACAATAGTTTTGCTCACCCAATGGTTCTTAGGTTAGGTTAGGTCGTCGAATTGATTCAAAATCGATGGATTTCACTTGTTCAGATATTCGGTAGAACCAACGGTTGTTTGTAACAACTCGAACTAAAGGAAGAAGTAGTCAGAATGACAAGATCAGTTAAATTCGGAGTGGTTGCCTGTCGGTCTCGTGCAAGCGATAATTTGAGCAAAAATTGTGATATTTTGACAATATCTTGGTGTACACGTTTCCTTGTACCCAATATTACTTGGTATTGGTTATGGGCGTAGTCAGACAAGTGTCACGCCCATAAAGAGTCATTGAACCAAAACCTTTAAAGTGCCACAGGGAGCGAAATGAAAATTAGACAATTTACATGGCTTTGCACACCATTCCTACATCTCAGGAACTACAATCAATCTGTGAGTTATCATAGTAAAGTTGAAAAGCGTATACCCTATACCTAATAGAACAATTTTCAAGTATTATATTAGATTATACCGGTCAATATGTTAGATAGCTTAAATACGTTAAGTCACTCGCTAGTAACATTTTATTAAAAAAATGGAAAAACCGAGCCAATAATTACTAAGATGTCTTAGCAAAATTGTGTGATCTTATAAAATTGGATATACTACAACTTAATTGCTCCACGAATTATCCCAACCTATATACTACCCCTGCTGCCCGGAAAGAGCTGCTGGGAGACCTGCGACTTTGACAAACACCGAAAATGTGACTCGTGTACGCAAAGTTTTGAACTCAGACCGTCGACTAAGTATTCATTTGATTGCTCAGATGTTAAATTTATAAAAATCTGTGGTTTAAGACATTGTGACGGAACACTTGAACATGCACAAGATGGTCCCAAAAGTGCTCACTGGCGACCAGAAATTGCGGCGAGTGGAAGTGTGCCAAGAAAATTTGAACATGTGTGAAGATAAAATAATTGACCACCGCGACCTTAGGTCTATTGTGCCCTCTCCTGACTCACAGGGGCTCACTTAGCCCCAGCATATTGATGAAGTCCAATATCCTACTGGGTGCTAACGAGGCGATGTGACCTCTTTCCAGATACATGGATCCAAGGGCCTTTGACCTGCGCCTACAGACTGCACGCAGTCGATTAGCATGTGATCCGGGGTTTCAGGCTCCCTGTCGTAAAACCGACAGTTGGCACAAGATGATAGGCCCATGTTAAATAAATGCCAGAAGCCTAAGTTTGTCCCTTGGGAGGTTTATTAACAATTTGAACCTCTTCTGGTTATACCCCCCAACTAGCAGCTTGGCGTGTGGCATACCATGCGCTCGCTGCCAATGCCTTTCCCTGTGCGCTCTTTCTTCCTTGCGGAGCAGCTCCTTCACAGCATGGGGGCCCACCCCAGTGAACGGTGGCCCAACCATATTGGTAGAGGCTGCAGAGCGGGCAAACTCGTCAGCCAGCTCGTTGCCGACTATACCCCTGTGACCAGGCACCCAGATCAGGTGCACCTGGTTCTTTTCAGCTAGGTTGTTCAGCCGTTCTCTACACTCCTGCGCTAGTAACGATTTGATATCGTAAGAGGAGATCGCTTTTAGTGCCGCTTGACTATCGCTTAGTATAGCTATTAGCTCATTGCGATAGTTGCGGTGGAGTTTATCTCTATACACCGACTTAAGGCCAAGACTTCGGCCTGAAAAATGCTCGGAAAGCTTCCTATCGGTATGGAGAGCTTGGTACGTGGACCTGCGATACCTGCACCGATTCCTTCCGACGTTTTCGAGCGTCGGTGTACCACTTCAAAGTGCTATCCCTTAGTTGCTCAAGAGTGGGGTGGCTCCACTCACTCTTGCTACCGAGGGTAACCTTAAACCTCTTCATGAAGTAAGTTGTTTTAGTAATGCCATCCTTTGGGAGGAGAGCAGTACTAATGTCGCCACTTATCGTCTCCATCCTCTGGGACGAGATTATCTTGCCTTTGCCACATCCCTCTGCTGTTATCTGCAGAAGTGAGTGCTTGGCTACTTGACCTATCATTATATGGAGCGGTGTGAGTTCCAACAGGACCTCCAGAGCTGCCGTCGTACAGGTCCGCATAGCGCCCGTCATGCAAACACATGCTAGCCTAGTGTGAAAGTCACCCCAATTTTTTAATAACGTAATCACAGATGATGAGTCATGAATCTTTGAGTATGATCCCAAGACAAAGGGGCAATCTTCAGCATTTGGAGACGCTCTGGCAGCGCTGCATCGACGCAGAAGCAAAATGTAATAATAAAACTTAGGTAGTATACGTTATATAGTATGTACATATGTAGAATATAAGTTTTATCCGCTTAGATAGATTAAGAGAGGATAAAATGTTAGGTACACTTGAATTTAGCCCTTCCTCACTTGCTGGAGTAAAGCTCTTATGAAAGAGTGAATAATTTATTATTAATATTTTTAAACTAACATATATATTATGGCAAAAATCGTATTTATAATTTGCGCTTTTGGTTATGTTTTGTTGTAGGTGGAAAATGTGCGGATGATAGATCGATACAATGCCAAAAATCCCACCGTCGGTACCCTATACTTGACGGCAACTCATTTGATTTTTGTCGAACCGGATAGCAATAAAGAAACATGGGTATGTACATATATGCATATGTTTAAAGGTTGAACTTATTAATAATTTATTATTTTAAAAAGTATCCAAGTTAAATATAATACATGTTAAATTAATCACTTCGAGGTTTCATTGTTCATTTATACTTAATTCTCGGTTTGTTCGTTAAATAAAAAAATGTTGCTCATTTTTTGAACACCAATCAGAAGAGCTTTCATGACCTGAAGAAGATTTTGATTCGAATTGAAAAGTCAAATAAAATTATCGCAATATTAGTACATTGTATGTATTTCTATAGAAGTTATRCAAATTTCTATTTATAAAACGATTTAAAATTTTTCTAAGTTTTGAAAATATTTTCGAAATCAACTATAAAATAAACAATTTTTAAAAAATTKAATTATTATCAAATAAATTAATTAGTTTTGTAGGTTTTCTGGTGACTTCATTGCATTGTTCACAAATAAAAATGTAATAACAGGAAACATTGTGAAATGAAAGTCTTCTATCGTTGTGTATTTGCTTGATTGAATATGTGTGTGGCGGCCACCACTACACACACTCGTGGAATTCCCATTGTCCTTGAAGCCATAGAACTCAAGTGCACTCAAATGGCGGGCGAAAATGTTAAAGAAATCAAATTGTAGATACAATGAACACGGAAAGTGTGTGTTTGGTGACGCGTCGGCGTCTCCCAGCTGCGCCTTAGCCCCTTCTACTAAGTTCACAAGTTTTCTTTTTGTTTGTTTTCTGATGTGCTAAGCTTTTTTCAACTATTTTTTGTTGGGGTAATTCTGATGCCAAGTTTGATCATAGTGCTGCCAAATAGGTCAGTAGCAACATGCATTGCAGAACGAAAGCAATTTTAAGAGCTGCACAGGACACTGCAAATTTTCGCAAACGAGCGTTGGGCTTCTTACTTCTAAATTTGAATAATTTATGTGCTTATCGTGGCCACTGTTATTAGAAAAGTATAAAAGCGGTATTGGTTGGAAGGAATTGATGACATCAGTTTTTGCAATATAGATTTAGGGTAGGTCTGAACTGTAAAATTTCATAAATATTAACTTACATATGTATGAGTGCTATTCGATCAAATTTGACCGGGACAAAAAAAATACATTTGCACGTATTTTAATACTAATCCTTATAACATCTTCAAAATAGTCAATATAAGTATGCAAACCCTTAATCCTATTTTCCATGAACTTACTACAAGCCTCGGGTGTGGTTGCCTTCGATGCCTTCAGGTTTCGGCTCATTTTTGGAGCGCCATTCGCTAGATCGTTGCACAGTTTCGGCGTCATATTAATAAACCTACGTGTTGTCATCAGTAATGATGCATTTAATGAATGTATAGTCCTCAGTTACGTTGTCAAGCATCTTTTTAGCAACATCTACTCGGTTTCTTTTTTGCAAATGATCAAAGCAAACCGAATCGCAAGTTAAACTTTTCGTATCGCAAACAAACGAGTACCAAACGTTACGGAATCCACCTTTTGTGTGTTCTTTGAGAAAATCTATTTTCCAGTTTCTTTTTGCATTATATTCGTACGCATTTCGAGGCTAAACCTAATTAAAAGAGTTCAAGCTTATTGTCGTTGTTGAAAGACTCAAATATTCATTTTAACTGCTTTTAACACTTGGAGGCGTGAAATGGCACACAATAGTGCTGCTTTTTGAGAAAATAATACAATAATCCAAACAATATCCTATGAGCGCATGAATAGCAGCACATGAATAGAGCCCAACAACAAGTGGGTGCATATGTACATGTGCTTGAAAACATACCCGACACGGAATCGTTTATTTGCGGACGTCATTAAATCCTGCCGCTTAGCTGGTTTGTAATTTTACTCAAAAGCAACTGAACTCATTTGCTCGCTGTATTTACCTATTAATGTTACGTATACGCGATGGGGTTCATTGTTGCGCTTCTACCAGTCGTGCAGCTCTTGGTGCAAGAATGTACGGTTGCGACCAGGTTATGTGATTTTTTTTGCTTTTCAATACAAATGATATATTTATTAAATGTATTTGGTGCGTTTTTTCACAAAGAGGCTTCGTATATTAACTTATTTTCCTGAATTCGTAAGAGAATTGCTAGTAATATTTTGATTTTTATACAACAACAGATTATTTTGGATAGCTGTCTATAATATTATACTTACTAATATTTTAAATATAGCCTATATGGTATTTTTGTAGCCTAAGCTTCCATCTTTAGGATTAAAACAAAACAGTTCCCCGAAAATGTTTCTAAATAATATTTTTATTTAAAATCGATTCCATTTTATCCATATAACTTGTTTCTTTTTAGTGAAGATCAATTTATATTTATAAAAGGAAACAAACATTAACTTCATACTTAGTATTTATTACACATGTATGTTGATACAGTTATAGATTGCTGTTTTATCCACATTTCACAGATTTTACATATGCACATTGCGAACATTGAAAAATTACCCTTGAGTACGACCGGTTCACCGCTATTAATACGTTGCAAAACTTTCCTATCGGTGACATTTGTAATTCCAAAGGATTCAGAGTGTCACGATGTCTACACATCATTAATGAAGCTCTATCAACCCGGTAAGTGACATATACCTACATACATAACCACATGCATACACATATTTCACGTTATATAAGTCTTATTAAGGTGAAGCGAAAATTGAGCTTTACGCTTTTTAGGTCTATATTTTTTTTTTTGAAAATAAGCTCAACCTTAACCTCCGGTATAATAAAACTACTATCATAGAACAGTATTTTTTTAGTTTTCCTGTACCCGGAGTAAGCAATATGCTATCTAAAGCTTGTCAAAGACTTCTTTTATGGAATAATTTAAAAATTCCTTTAGTAAAAGGATGAAAACTTGTTTGCGAACTGAACGCACATCCTTAATAAGTGAGATACTAAGCGAAGGGAGAGTGTTTTCCAGTTGAAATATAGGCACTACCACCGTAATACGTTTATATGTGTACATGTTTGTATGTGTGCTTACAGTTATATACATGCGAAACAGCTATGCTTTGCTAACTACTCACATTATGGTTCATTAATCTAAATAATGCGTTTTTAATTGCAGTTTCCATTAACAAGTTATACTGCTTCAACTATCAGCCAGCCAAAGATGATTTTCCAAAGACATCAGGTTGGGATTTCTTCAAATTGGAAAGCGAATTCAAGCGTGTGCGGGTGCCTAACGAAATTTGGACATTGTGCACATTGAATATGAACTATGAGCTATGTGACACGTACCCACGGCATATTTACGTGCCACAGGAGGCCAACACAGCCATGTTGATCGGCAGTTCCCGTTTTCGCTCCAAAGGCCGTTTGCCTGCACTTACCTATTTGCACTCGAATAAGGTGAGTAATTATTTATAAGCATAGAGTAAAAATTTTTAGCTAAAATTAGTTGCTTTAAATATGTTCCAACTCTTAATACTCGTTGAATCAACATGTGGAAGTTTGCGTCCATCAGTGACGCAAATACTTGCAGGAATAATGTGACATCAATTGAAGCAAACGTGATTCCTTTAGAGTGACACCACTGCATACTTTGTGTTGGACGATGTAGGATATGGGTCACCTAATCATATTATTGGATGACAAGTCAAACGTTTGTGGTCCAGTTTTGCAATTGGTTCTTTGTTCTCAGTTGTGCTTTGACTCATTTCATTTCACTTTGCCTGTGGCGAACTAATAAATTACGAATGAGGAAACCAATTTGAGACCAGACATACGCTCTCCAGTCATACATACTGCTTTCAACGTTTTTGTTGTTTGTAACCTACATGCATACTGCATATTTCTTCAATGCTAATTATACATTTATGAAACAATGAAAGTCGTGTTCCTGTTGGCCTTGAAAATTTTACATCACGTCCGCACCATAAATATTATATTCGGCTTCTGGAGAGAATTTTGTATAAGTGAATTTGTATAAATACTCCTGCAATGGCGGTATCCCATCAGACTTATTTGCTAGATCCACTTCAATGTGTGTTAGAAGCAATAAGTCAGAGCTCTTCATGCGATTTTGGTTATTGTATTCGAATAGTTCTTTTTTTTTCATAAAACAGTTTTTTGAAACCTTGCCCTCTGCTTCTTTGATATATTAGGCTCGCTGGTATATTTCGGCACAGCCGACTAAGTAAATATTCGTTGCGGAACTTACTTTTGTGATATTTGTTTTAACCGTTTTTCTCTTTCTTTTGTTTGCATTCAGGCTTCCATTTGTCGCTGCAGCCAGCCGCTGTCGGGTTTTAGTGCACGCTGTTTGGAAGATGAACAGATGCTGGAGGCGATTCGTAAAACAAATCCAAACACCGACTATATGTACGTTGTGGACACTCGACCCCGGGTAAGTGGCCTTTGTACCATTGTAAGTGTACTTTTGTACATATGTGCATATTCATGCTAGAAGTGTTTAATTTGCGGAACATATTTCAACAAGCAATCACAAGTGCAGACAGGCAAGCGCCATTTATGTAGATACCACGGCGGTTGATGCATCAAGTGCTCACTGCGGAATGTCGAGCACTTAAAACGTGTTTGCTTCGTCAAATATGTACATGTTGAAATGTACAAAATTTTTATTTTGCATTTGCAAATAAGTTATACAAATGTGTATCAATATGCTCACTTATTCAAACGATGCCATGCTATTATATATTAGTTAAAAAATTTATAATATACATGTGTATTAATGTTGTGGTAGTAGTATAAAACGTTACTCATTTAATTTTGGAAAATGTCCCAAAGCTGAGAGTCATTTATCAAATAGGATTCTGGGTGTATTCTGATGTCATAGACCTTACTGTCACCGGCATGGCTTTCCTTCCATATAAAATATCAATGTCATTGGACACTATGATTTCTGAGATCTAATGGGGGCTAAGTTTAATATAACAACATTTTCGGCAGAGGTCTTGTTTCAAAACCGACTGTGGATATGTCTGCATAAGAGCTTTCAGCAAAATATTTATTCAAGCACAGAGTTGGATTGTTTCAAACACAAGCACTCACAAACATAATCTATGCCGTGCCGTAGAGAGAAAGACAGGGTGTTGAGGAAAAAATCTGACAAAATGTGTTGTTGCGGTTTTCCTGATAGTGCATATCTGTGTGCTACAAATGGGCTGAATAGGGTCAATACTTCCTTTAGCCCCCATATAACTAATATCAAGATTTTCGAAGTTCCGGGTGAGTTTATACCGCATATTTCCCATAATCCATGCAAGATGCAAGAGTAAAAAATGTTGGGTTATATCCGAACTTCTTGTTAACTTTGCGCTGCAGTTCAACTGTTATCTGTGACATCAAACGAGAAGCCGCGTAGAAGTCAATCGCCTCTAAGCTGAGTCATGTTATTAGCAATATTATTATTATCCTTATTATCATCATCCGAATTCGTAATTGTGATCATTCTCTAACAGATAAACGCAATGGCTAATCGTGCCGCTGGAAAAGGCTACGAAAACGAGGCTTTTTATGAGAACATCAAATTTCACTTTCTCGGCATAGAAAACATACATGTACAGCGAAGCAGCCTCCAGAAATTGATTGAGGCTTGTGAACAGAAGACACCCACAATGAGCGGCTTTCTTAATTCTTTGGAATCATCTGGTTGGTTGAAAAATATTCGCTCTATTTTGGATACCTCCAGGTAATTGGATTAATTTTGTACAAGCTGCTACATGTGCAATATGAAATGCACTTAATCCAACTAATGCAATATTATATTCTTGAATTTCCCCAGCTTTATTGCGAACGCGGTCGACAAAGGTGTCTCGGTTGTAGTTCACTGCTCGGACGGATGGGATCGTACAGCACAGGTTTGCTCATTAGCTGCGTTGATGTTGGATCCTTATTACAGAACCATTAAGGGGTTTCAAGTAAGTGTTAAATTTGATGAATATGTCTCAATTGTTTCTTTATTTATATTTCTTTATCTTTTATTTTTTAAAGGCTCTGATTGAAAAAGACTGGCTAGCATTTGGACATAAATTCAGCGAGCGCTGTGGTCACGTGCAAACTGATCCGCGTGAGGTCTCGCCTATTTTCACACAATTTCTGGATTGCACTTGGCAGCTAATGAACCAACGTAGTGATGCTTTTGAGTTCAACGAACGCTTCCTACTTATCCTACACGATCATGTGCACTCGTGCCAGTTTGGAACATTTGTGGGCAATTGCGAGAAGGATCGTCTGGATTTGAAGCTATCAGAACGCACATTTTCCCTATGGGGCTTCATGGCTAATCATTTGAACGAATATATTAACCCATTGTACAAACCTGATGTTGATAAAACTATTAAACCCAATCTTCAACCGCAATGCATTAAGTAAGTAATGACCAATAATCAAAAGAGCAAAAATATAAATGAATTTCGCTATAAATACTCCACCAGATTTTGGCGCGGCATGTTCAGTCGGTTCGAAAGTGGCGTACATCCACGTGAACCGCTTAGCGACTTGCTGCTTGTGAGCAAGGATCACTGTACCTCATTGGAAGATCACGTACAGCACTTAACAAAGGTGAACATACTATTTGCCTACACATTTGATTTGGTTGTCATTACTTTTGATATATTTATATATGTTTATAGCGGATTGCAAGCTTCAAGAACTATATTTCTAAATCCGCAAAGAAATTGCAAGATGCCACAGCTAAATCGTATAAGGAGCCCGTTTCGGAGATCAATGACAACAAGTGCGTCAGCTAGTTGGATAAAAGTAAAATAAAGCTTATAATTACATTTGCAATTTCCACAGGTACAATTACGACAAGAAGATGAGCGAACTATCCTCAGCTGATGATGATCATCCGCTTAAGCCAGCCGGCATGTCGTTTGCAAATCTTTCGGTAAAGTTTTGTTTTATACAACTCATTATATAATCTTTGAATTAAATTTTGTATTAGTTGAATGAACGCATTGACTCCACGAACATTAAGGAGGAGATTAATTCCGTGGCTGTGGACTGGAAATCAATGCGCAGCGTGACGGCCTGCTCATGCTCAACCCCATTCGATCAGTTCAGTAAGAAGGTATGTATATCAAGATCACTCAGGGTTATAAGTGCTTACAATACGTATTTTTCAACATTTGCACAGACCCATTGTTGGAAGTGTGGCGATATATTTTGTGAACGCTGTATTGACAAGAGCATCCCTTTGCCGGGGCAGGACAGCGGGAAGCCGGTGCCGGTGTGTCGTACCTGCTTTCGGCTTGTTCAAAAGACCAGCCCATGAACTCTCAACGGAGCGTGAAACTCAGTTTACTACTAAAGCGAGCATAAAATAAGTATATGGAAATCCTCGGGTGTGTTTTGTGTAATGAATGTTGCTTATATAGTCGAGACTTTTGTGTGTAGCTTAGTAGGAGTGCATGTTTGTGAAGATACAATATTTGAGCATTAGGCAATTCAGTCGTAAGCAAGACGTGAAAGTACAAGCTTATATAAAATACAACATACATTAGTAAAAAAAATTATGTTGAGGAATGATAAAATGGCAAAAAAGCACATTTGAATTTTAAAGTTTGTTGCATTTCTAGTTTATCGCAATAAAATATATAAATCAAAATTAGAAAAACAATTTGAAAACAAGCATTCTCTGTTAAACGTTCGACTAAAAGTTCCAATATATATATATACATATATATATGTATATCTATTATGCATTGTAGAAAATGTATATCTAACTGAAAAACACCATAACACACCCTATTACCAAAAAAAATATAAGAATGTGTGAAGTTTAGACATAAGAACCCAAGTGCTCTCTATCTCCAATACTAAAAATTGTTTGTAAAATAAATGTATTGCCAGTTTAATATGTTGGGTTCTACGAGAGGCTGATTTCAAAGCGTTTTATAGTTAGTGTTTCTGTCTTCCAGTATCATCCGAAATCTGCATTAATGGATTTTCTGTACTGATAAATATGCAATTTTAGAATATTCATATAAATAACTTCAGCATTCCTGAAACTATGCGAAAATCAGCGCTCAATATAATCCGATTTTTATAAAAATTCGAATTTTCTAAATTCTCACCCTGAAAGTAGTTAACCAACACCAGCATAATCGAAAGTGCACAATTTTGTTAATGACGGCATATTTTTATGTCTGCCCAATTATTTTATATTCGAATATAATTATTATGTATAATAGGAATATACGTATAGCAATTTTAAGTTCCCATAGTTCGATTACAAAGCTACGCACATGTGTTAAGTGACCAAATAGTTGTGCACAAGGCAAAATCAAAAACCAATCAGTCATTATTCGTTGTCTATAACATGATTATGTAGTTTAAAAAATAGTATTGAGAATTTAAAAAGAAATACAATAAATGCTTAAACGCCCAAAACAAAAAAAATCAATTTTACTCAGAAGATGAGTAGTTTTATTACAGCATTATTTTACACAAGTGTATTTATATTTAGTTGATGAAAAGCAAATTTTTCCATTGCCTAATAACCGATTTCAGTTGGTTTTATACGCAATATCACTGGCACACTGGTACAGGGTAGTATGGAGACTTCGGTAACCACTGCAGTGACTAGTTCGGGTGGAGTAATATCGTACATCAGATTCAATGGAGACATTTTGCCCTTTGTCTGCCAATTCGCCAGGCTGCATTGAGCGCTTCTTATCAGATCATCCGGATTGCCCAGTTCATTATAAACGATCGCATCTGTTTGAGAACGTTCGCTAAATTTATGCGTTTCGCAGCACACCAAAACAGGCACATTGAATGAGTGTGCAACCAGTGCAACTTGTGCGGTGCCAGTACGCGCCATAACATATCCATTAGCCAACAGTGCATGCGCCCCCAATAATACTTTGGTTGATTCCGGCATAACGAAGCTAACAGCATTGATGAGCACATAACTACATGGGATTCCTTTGACAGTGAGACGTCGCAGCAGCTCCTGACCCTCACAGAATGGGCGTGAATCCACTACGATGACACGGAAATCCACACGTCTTCGTTGTGCTTCCTCAAAAATGTACGTTATCAATGACGAACTGTAGATAGGGAGAGATTATATCAAATACAAACATAAAGGTATACAAATATGATTCAATTTACCAGCCAAATGTGAGTATAACATCGCCATTTGAGATTTTTTCCTGCACAGAGTAGCTAATCGCTTCAGCCGCTTTGCCAATTTGATTTTCAATATAGGTGTCGATGAAACGACATAAATTCTCTTTCAGCTGCAAACACAAGACATGTCAATGTGTAAATATTAATGTAGAAAGTGATAAACAAATATATTATATACATCTGTTTCGGGTTGATCAGTTGGCAATTGCGTCAGCACATGTTTAATGTGTTTGTATGCATTGCTTACGGACACTGCAAGCGGTCGGCATTTCTGCAAGTGTTCCACACTATTCGTGATTGTCGTTTCTAAGCTGCGTGCAAACTCTTTCTTTGGCGGTGTCTCAAAGTCTCTAATAACCTGCAAGACAACATTCAATATAATATTATGCTAACTAAAAACACACATACAATGGCTCACCATTTTCAGCGCATTGAGAAATCCGATGCAGCGTGCATTTGAACCGACAATTGTGCGTTGAGCGTACTGCTCTCCCAAACGAGCGATACTTGGATGTATTTGTGAATTGTTGAGAAATAAATTTGCCTCCTGTCTTGCTTTTTCCAAGTGATTGAAGAGGCGCACCTTGCAATCATTTATGCGATTAGACTTTGTCACAGGGCTAATGCTTTTGGTTGGCGAAGAACTAAAAGTATTTACAGCGGCCATTAGTGGCGTGTCTGTTGAGAGTTTAGTGGCTTGCTTGGCGCTGGCGGCTGTAGACTTTACTTTTGGCGTCACGCTCTTTTGTGCGAGTGCCTGTGCTTTAGCTGCTCGCTGAGCTTCCTGTATAGCACGTCTTTCCGACTTATTCAAAGCAGATTTTTTCTAAAAATAAAAAAAATTATATAACCATATTAAATTCGGGATCATAATAAAAAGTGTAGTTAAACCTTTTCTTCCTGGATGGTATTGGTAGATAAGTTTTCTGTAATTTTAGTGTCTTCCAATTTGACAGTTATCTCAGTTACGCCGGAGGTTTTAGCCACCTTCAATGCTTGTTTTGCTTTCTTCTTGGCCTCACGTTCAGCTTTAATTTGTTCACGATTTTTTTCTACAACAGCAGATGTGTGAGTGTCAATTACTTTCGAAGGAGGGTTAGTAATTGTATCCTGCTTTTGGCTAACAACGTTTACTACGGAACTACCTACAACAGGGGTGGTTGTGGGTGCAGCTTCTGAGTTGACGCCCATATTCTTTCCTTTTTTCATTTGTTTTGCCAGTTTTTTAGCTTCGCGTTCGGCCATAATCTCCTCACGGGATTTTCCAAGAGAGGAATTAGTGGCAGGAGCAGAGTTTGCTGACATTGCGATTTTTATGATGGCTTCTTTTCCAAATCCTGAATTAGGTTTACTTTGTGAAATTGTATTTTGAATATTCGTTAGATTTTGTGTTATTATTTGTGGTTTATATAAAATATTTGAGGTATCTGCAATTATTTCTTTTATTTCATCACTTGGAAATTCATGAGACTTTGGAAAAATATGTTGAGTAACCTCCTTTGTTCCTATATTTTTAGATGTCTCCACAGATACAGATTCAGAAGATGATTGAGAAACTTCTATGGGAGTTTTATTAGGTATTTGATGACCGCTTAATTGCAGTCCCAATGTATCGTTTGGAATTCCGTTCGTCTGTTCTTCGACTCCCAAATATTCACCTTTTGATTCAGAACTATTGATATATCTTTTGTTTCGTTTACGGAGACGCTGACGAGGTCGTTTCTTCTTTGCAGTAATTCCCTCGCTCTTCTTTTCCTGGTTTGCAAGTAGTACCTGCGAATTGTACTCAAGTTTAAATATCTCGCAAATATTTATAAGTGTGAATTATATGAATGGCAAACTAATAAAATTAAAATATACAAATGAAAAATGAAACCATTTGCCAAAAAGAAGATGTGGGTTAAATGTGGGCAAGGAAAAAATTGTATAGTTATGTGGGTATGTACCTTATGATCCTGAGTACCGGACATATTTAACGCTACTCGTTTAAACGACTGAGCAGTGAAATATATAAAGAACAAATAAACAAATATTATTTTCTGATATTAATTGATGAAACTTCCACACACATTTTGTAAAAGCAGGTGATCAGCGTTTGATCTAAAATACATCCACGCTTAGCTGAACTAGGAACACGTCCCAAGTTAAATCTAAGAAACACTAAACTTACCGTGCAATTTGCAACTATATAAAAAAAATCGCTTATTTATTAGCTATATATCTTTCCCCAGTGATTTTAACTAATAAATTTAAGCAATCTGCTCACGACATCAACTTAAAATGTCAAAATATACACTTTGATAAATCCCATAACGACTACAGGGTGGTTTTCTGTATATATGCCAGCAATTCTTTTTAAATATTTAAGAAAAAAATTTAGAAAAATAAATAAAACATTTTCTGCAGCCAAATTAGTAACATTTTTATAAAGTTGTACGCTCATTTTCCTTGTATTTTAAGTAAAGTAAAAATAAATACAAACCAAAAATTCCTGACCATAACTATTCATCCGATAAAATACAAGTGGCAACTTAAGCACTTGCCATCTGTCAGATGTCAGAAAAGTCAAATCGATTTAATTAAAAAAATTTCATTTGTGTTTGGATTTTACGATTAAAGCCAGAAAAATGTCTGCGATTCTCTCACAAGTTATTCGTCGTCAAATTGCTATTAGCTTAAACAGATCCCAAGCTGGAGTTACTGCCGCCACAGCTGGCGAACACTCAGGTAAATTTTTGAGCTGAAATATTTATTTTGCCTTCATTCCCGGAGGTTACCAAGTAGGAGGTTATGTAATTTTCTAATATATAAGTTCATATAATGGTTTAATAGCAAAACATTTTTTCTTCTTATAGGTGGCTACAAAGTTTGGAAGCGTCTTTCATTCTTCGTTGCAATTCCTGCAGTAGGTCTTTGCATGTTGAATGCCTACCTCAAGCATCAGGAAGAGCACGATCACCCTCGCGCAGAATTCATCAAATACGAGTACTTACGTCGTCGCGAGAAACGTTTCCCATGGGGAGATGGCAATAAAAGCCTGTTCCATAATCCCCATGTCAACCCACTGCCTGATGGTTATGAGCATTAATTAATAAAGCACAATAGCTTGTAGCAAAACTAGGGAGGAGCAATCTATCGAAAATCTTGAATGGACCAGTTCAATTTACTCCGAGTAATTTGTTGCTTT